ACATAACTACAAAATCAACTTTAAATAAATGACAATTATATGACAACAGTAAGACAGTACTGGGTTCAAAGTCACTATAAAAACAGATCAAAATTCATTTGTCTGTGGAGTTAAATCCCTTACAATAGGCCCAAGCCATATAAAGCTGCCTTGGGGATGATTTAAAACATTTCCAGCAGACCCTAAAAGACTCATTGAGGGGAAGGAACTAGTGACGTCACGCCGTAAACCGAAAAAGTGTAAGTGTGCAGCCGGCCATTTTGGTGGAGGTTTTCCTCATTGCTTGGAAACTGCAGTGCACCAGAATATGTACACATTTTAAGCTAAGTATATGGAATTTTAAATTTAAAAAATGTTGCATTTTATACGGAAAGTACTATATATCCTTCTTTTTCTGGAGTTCCAAATTAATATTGGCCAAAGGATTACAGAGTATGGAGATGGTTTGGGGAACATCTGGGTGCTGGAGTGAGGTTTATCTGACCCCTACTTAAAGGGAAAAGTGCATATGACCTAACACAGTATTCGTTAGGTCAGAATACATGGTGAGAGCATAGGTTTATTGGTGAAGGGATACGCTCAAGTAGTGCAATAAACATACTAGAAAATTATTGTCACAGTGGAAATCCAGAGTTTTTTTGCCGTTATTATGAAGAGTTTTTGACTTGTTTTATTATGATGTGAATAAACCACACCCTCCTATACAAAATATAAAATGGCTACCATATCCCCTCGTCACACTCTAACGCACTTCATCATCACAACTTTTTCAAAGGATGCATCCTTTGAAAAAGTCGTGATGACGAAACGCGTCAGCCAATGACGTCAGACGTTGCCGGTAGTGCAGCGTGGCCATTTTGGATGAGGTCCGGACTGATCACATACACTAGAAAAAGACCAGGCTTGGAGGAGAGATACAATTTCTGCGAATACTCTGAAAATGTAAGAGCTTTTAATAGAGCTTTTAATAAAGGAAGAAGTTTTTAACATAAGATGTTGGTACGCAATGATTGTTTGCTTTTCTTCTGAGTATATGAAGGTATATGCCATCGTTGTTATTGGAGCATTGATAATCGTAGTTCTGGAGAAAGAGTCTGTCTGAGCAAAGCCTTCATTGCCTGTCAATCTGGTAAGGTGCATGGGCTGACAGGTGTTGGACCACTCTACGGTTTCACTGCATTATGATGACTGGTGTGGTGTGTGACACTGATTCACAGTATATGAGGCTCATGAGTTAATCGTATTACACTATATATGACTTATATATTTTTGAGGGTCCTATTTGAGAAGATTTTTGGAAGAAGGATCCTAAAATCAACATATTATATCAAGCAAGTCATTCACCTACTCAGGGTAAGAGTAGGAATTGCAGTCACTGGATGGACACATGGTCACTGGGGGCACGTTTTTGAACACTTTGATGTGAACACAATACCATTAATTTGTGTTATGTTTTGAGGATAATGTAGTTTAATATTTTGAGGTACAAAGAGAGGAAGAGTAGGAATCTGCTCAGAGCAAAATGGGGAATTGTTGGAAAGTATGAAGATATCACCAGTTTATATGGGAATTTCTTGAGACTTTTTGTGACTTTTTTGTTGGTCGTTTTTAAATGTTTTTGATTTTGAACTTTTCTGTTGGTCGCTATTGAATACATCTTGTTTATGTTTTATTAGGAACATTCATATTTTGAGATTACTTTTAAAGTGAGTATATGGACACATTGAACTCTTTGGCTAGTGATTTTTATTGATGAAATATTGCACTGCCTGGTACCGATTTAATATTTTGACCCATTGAGTACCAGGTCACTCCAAGTTGACTGCACTGAAAAAGAGGACATCATACCCAAAAAAAGGTCCCATACTATATTTATCATCTCAAGTTCACCTCCTTCAAAGTCCCTAACCTGCCACTGTGAAACAAGCATGACACCTCATGCTGGCATGTAACTCCACACACACCCTCAGTGTTCTCTTGCTATCCAAGAAACCACATACTGATCTCAACACACAGTGCTGCATACCAGCCTCTAAGTGCCTAACCGCTGAGCCATCATTTCTAGTTACAAACCTCTTACCTTCCTTGTTCATATCAGTTATCAGTTAATTCTTTCTATCAAGCAAGCCATGCACCAGGATGTAGGGGCTACTACATCTAAACTAAAATAATGGTCACACCAAAAAATGGGAAAGAAAAATGGAGCCGTATAAAAATTAAATGTCATGGAAAGTTCCTGCATAAAGCAGGCACCCAAATCATTTCCACCTCTATGGACGACCAGAACATCTGGAGTCTTGTCCAAGTAAGAGAAGACTTGGACCTCTAGTACCATCCAACTCCATAACATCCCATGCACCCCAATCTATCTAAGCATACTCTGATCCACTTTGAACCAAGTTGGCAGGCTTTAAATCTTACATCCTCTCACAAAATACCCTGAAAATAAAATGTACGGATGTCACAGTATCCACAACAGGCAAGCTGTGTCACCTGTAACGATAAATACAGAAATAAAATTCAATATTAGTAGAATTAGTAGAAATTAACTCCCTGCCATTTTTTGATTAACAGAAGAAACACATCTATCTGTAAAACTGTGCATGAAGAAAAGGAGCACCATTGCTCTTTATTCCTCTACTGTGCCGTCTACTGCACCGAACACCATAACAAACTATTCTGTCTACAATTTTAAGTAGACAGTCCAAGTTGCAACACCTACTGACCTTCAAGTCAATTCTGTTGCAATTCCAAAGCCATCTTTTAAATGCACTGAAAACAAGGAACTTTTGATTGCTCCACTACTTTCGGAGACAACCTCTGGGTGTTGCAAACATTGCAGGCAATAAGCACGATGGACTGAAGTGTACAAGAAAAGGGATCTGGAAAGCTTTAAAAAAAATGTCTCTTTGGAAAAGGATGCAGTTGTTCTGCCCCCGCTGCAGTCTTCCTTTTACTCAACGGGGTTCATTTACTAAAGGTAAATAGGCTGTTCACTTTTTAAGGTCATTTTCCTCAGACCTTAGCAAATGTGGTGAAATTTTATTGTGCAGAGAATACCTAATCATCTACAATGAAAATAAAAAACAGCATTTTTACTTGCAAATGACTGGATGATGGAAGTAAGTAGAGTTTCACCTCATTCACAAAACTCTAGGAAAAATGCTCTTGCAAAATATAACTTTCAATGCAAAGTGAACAGCCTATTTGCCTTTAGAAAATCAACCCCAAACACTATCCAGGAACAGCTTTTTCCTTATTTGAAACACCAAGAGAAAGAGTGGGAACCCCCATGGCCTGAAAACACATGCTTGAAACAGCAGCTAGTGCTGAATTTGCAGTTACAATAATTGGCTAATAACGGTATCACTTTTTCCTGGAGGCTGGTTGTCCTGAGGTAGAGGTACCTCCTGATCCCTCCTGAAGAAACTTGGAGCCTGCACGTGCTGGGGTCATGAGCTTCATCCGCAAACTATTATCCTTGTAGTCCCACCTCAGCAACAGTTGAACAGCTTGCTTCTGGTAGAATCCCTCTCAAGTAGAAGAAGTTAAAGTAGAAGAAAAAAAAAATGAGCATAAAGGGCAGTACTCACCAGGCTGACTAGGACCAGGTGATCAAACAGCTTCAGATCCTAAAGCTTATGCTGGATGTTGCTGCTCTTGGTGTTCCTCTTTTTTCCTGAGGCTATGAACTCCACTTCCTAGTAGTGATGAGGCAGTTTAAAGGCCTCAACCACCTGTTCTTACCATACAAGGCTATGCTTACCTAGCTCTCAAAAACCTGGCCTGCTTGACAGCACACTCTGTACTTGAACACACTTCTGCCACCACTTGCCGCCACCACCACCAGCACTGAACTCAGAGACAGAAGGAGAAGACCCAATTTCTGCATGATCTGCATTCGTTCTCTATGTGGGGAGACCTTCTACCGCAGGCTCTTCCTATGCTGGGGATTTCTTCCAGGCTGCACCTGGAATCCCGTATTGTGTCACCAAGCTCAGTAGGAGCATCAGTGCCAAGGAGGTCTAGTGAACTTTACAGGCAAGTATGCATGATGACTGACCCTTGGGGCAGGCAGGCCTGTCTTACCCTTTGTAACGGTGCAGAAGCTTGGTTCTGAAATCAATCTGTGCCATTTACACTGACTACGGCACACAACTAAGTGATAGTGACCTCTAGCGTACCTCTTCACTTATTTAACCCTTCCGCAGTTGACCATTCTTTTGCCCTGTCATGTAGGCATTGCACTACCCCCTTTGGAATTGCTGGATTGTTTGGGTCCCCCTATAGTTCTGCACAGCCAGGCAACTTGCATTTCCACAACAACTTTTATCCAGGAGTCAGAAATCAGTCCCTGAGCTTGTTTTTTGATATTTATTAGGGGAATATCAACTTGGATGAAGAAAGAGGTACATGGGATACCCAATGGAACCAATGAACTGAGGGCAACTTCCTGGAACTGTTTACAAGTCTACTGCAACACAGTTTCTGTTGAAGAGCTAGCCAGCATCTCTCAGTATACCTCTACAGACCCCAAATATTCCTTGTTCTGGCTGCTTGAAGGAAATGCCTGGACAAGGGATCCAGTCTTGCCACTTTAAAAGAAAAACAGTCCCAGCAGGTTGATAATCTGGTTCCCCACCAGAGTGCCCCTTCCCCTATCTGGCCCAGGGGGTGTAGGTTTACTCCTTTGTCCCTCTCTTGTGCTGCTATTGATTTGATGGCCTACAGAGCCTCTCAGCCATGACCACAATTTGACCTCTCTGACTATTTCACCTGGGATGCTATCCAGCCCCTATCTAAAAATTAAATCCTAGCTCCCCCTAGCTACCTTGGAGGGTGCTACATAGGCATTGTGCACATTTGAGCAGACATAGAGGGTAAGGATAACTTTTCCACTGGGGACACCTATTTGGGTGACAACTGTCAGCGGAGGAATTTCACCCCATTTGGGGAAGGGGGGGGGGGGAGGTTCCTTTACTTTCTGATGTGTCTCTGCCAGGGGTGGACTGACCATTTGGAAACTCGGGCACTGCCCGAGGGCCCGGGGTCAGTAGGGGGCCCCATGAGATGCCCCTGGTATCTTTTTCATAGGCTTTTTTGAGTTTGGGCAAGGACACGGGGCCCCATGATCCCCTATTGCCAGGGGGCCCCATGAGTTGTCAGTCCGCCCCTGGTCTCTGCAAACAGAATGTAACAGGAAGTCTCCCTAATGGGGACATAGACCTGCAATTAAAACCTGACAGTTTCTAAGTGATCCCACTCTAGGAAATATAACAGAAAAAAGTTTTGTCTGGAACTACACTTTAAGAGTACAGCAAATATGAAATTAAGAATATTATTGACTAAAAGTGTTTTAAATAAATGTGTTGCATGCTGGGAGAAGCAGCTGTGAGCTGGTCATACACAATCAGGTTCTGATTTGCTAGATGAACAGAATTTACCAACAACTGTGTAGCGCCTCCTGGCTTGCGTTTTCCTAATCAGACAATGGAAATTAAACCAGCCGCACTGCCATTAACTCTACAGCCTGAGATTCAGTATGTGTTCTAAGGGTCCGAAAAGGGGCTGCAGCTGTTGTAAGATTAAAATAAACCTCTCATAAAAGAAATTTGTCTGTTTATTGTCATGAGAGAAATTGATAATATCCTTCTGAAAATCTCAATTGCCCATGAATTTTTGTTACACTCTGGCAACTTTCATTGACTAGTAAGTTGTATTCAGATCAAGAAGGTCAAAATGAAGCCCTAGTCTTCATACATTCAAGAAGGTGAGAATGACAGCCAGGCAACTAGCGTTTTCAGGAGAGGACAGAATCATAGCCTTAGTGGTTATCTCAGGACAGCTTACTTTTAAGGCTCCTTTACTGACAGATGTGCTCACTTACATTCAGGGGCAGACTGACCATTCGGAAACTAGGGCACTGCCCAAGGGCCCAGGGTCAGTAAGGGGCCCCATGAGATGCCCCTGTTACCTTTCATAGGCTTTTTTGGGTGTGGTTTGAGTGTGGGCAAAGATACAGCGGCCCCATGATCCCTATTGCCCGGTGGCCCAATGAGTTGTCAGTCCGCCCCTGCTTACATTATATATGGCCAAAATTATGAGAACTCATTGTACACATTGTAGAGTTTAGGGGCTTTCAATGAAGAGTACCTAACGTTACAGCATACAGAGGCAATTTAGATAATTGTGCATTTCCAAGCTTGTGACCACACTTTGTTTTTTGTTCGTGTCATCTCTATGCAAAGCACGCTTAAAGCAGGTCAGAATGTGGTCAACTGAAAGTCAAATGAGCACATCAATGAATTCTGTACGATCTTTGAAGCATCCCAAACTGATGTAAAATTGATGTCATGAACACATGCCCAAAATCCATTGGCATAAGCTTCATAAAGACATGGTTTGATCAGTTCTATATGCAGAAACTTAAAGTGACACTAAACCTTTGTTTGTTTCTTTTTTTTAATAACAAACATGTCTATACCTACCTGCTCTGTGCACTGACTTTGCACAGACCAGCCCCAATCCTCTTCTTTTTGGGTCCCCACTGGAGCTCCTGGCTCCTGCACCTCAAGCAGTGCCCCTAGGGAAAGCTGTTCACCCTGGGGGCACCGCTGCATGCTGGTCCCCGAGCTGCTGCTCTATGCATCCAGTAAACAAATTCGACCTCGCCCCCTTGCTCTCTCCTCTTTGGCTCACTGGCTGTGATTGACAGCAGTGGGAGCCAATACCCTGAAAACCCATCTCTACAGGGAAGCCTACCCCACCCTCACCTAACAGCCGATCTCCTCCACTCCTACCACTCCATCCCCAACAGCCACTTCCTCCTGTGCCACTATCTCCTCCCTCCTAGATTGTAAGCTCCAAAGAACAGGGCTTTCGAACCCCTCGTGTATTGTATTGTTACTGTATTGTCTCATGTACTGTTCCCCACTATAATGTACAGCGCTTGAGCAAACTTTCTGGCACTATATAAATACTGTATAATAATAATAATAGGCTGTCTCGGCCAATGAGGAGGAAGAGTCCTCATACAGTAGAAGCTTTCGAGAACGTTGCTGTATCGGAGGGGGGTCAGGTAAAGGCGGGGCTCGGGAGGCAGCTGCACACAGAAGGTCTTTACCTTCATGCATATAATACATGAAGCTTTAGAACCACTCACTTTAAGTGGCCTGCACAGAACCTGATCCCAACCCTACTAAACGCCACTGGGATGAATTGCAAAGCTAACTGGGATTGGGGTTTTCTCATCCAAAATCAGTACTTGATCTTGCACACTAGCTAAATAATGCACAACTTCCTCAAACTTCAAAATCTTGTGGAAAGCCTTACTAGAAGAGTGGAGGCTGTTATAGCCAAAAAGAGTAGGCCAACTCCATATTAATGTCCATGGTTTTGGAATGGGCTCCCCAACCAGCCCATGTAGGTGTGATGGTCATATGTATACATATGTTTGGCCACATAGTATATTCCCCTTAAAAAGTACACCCAACTTTTTTTACATTTATCCTATTGTCTATTTCTGTTGTATGACATAGCTGTGGATTATAATCAACTGCAGTTTGTTGTATACCTTTCTGCCTAACTAAAAAAGTTTGGAAAAAAAAAAGTGCACCCAAAGTATCCTGGTTCTATAACTATCCTATATCTGTAGGTATATGTTATATAACTTTGTTTCCTGGTCAGAAACACATTTTGTTTTTGCCTTTCTTTCTACTAAACCCAGATTGAGAAGAATGACCACATTACTTAAAATAAAGGCACACAAAAGGATTAGGTTATGACTGCAGTGGAATGGCTGGTATCAGGATCTTTAGAAAGTGATTTCTATGCCAAGGCCTTCAAGAGTTACAGTATAACCTGATGAATGATTGTTTATATTGTTTTGGATAGATCAATAACAGGCTAGAGCTCATGTGTCAAACACAAGGCATGTGGGCCAAATTCAGCCCACCAGGCCATGTCATATGGCCCTTACACCTCTCCTGCAGCTGCGGCACCCCTCTTGTCTCCTCCCCAACCTTGTCTCAGCAGTCAGCAACAGACAAAAAGACAGAAATCCTTTTACAGATCTTGTGCCTCTCTGTGCAGCTTCAGCACCCAATTGTCTTCATCTCCCCTGGTCTCAACATTCAGCAGACTCTGACGGCTGACTCCATGTCTCCTCTGGTCCTCCTCCAGTCCCAGCAAAAAAAAAAAAAAACAGGAAAAAAAAGTTATAATAAAGAAAAAAAAAAAAATTTTTTTTACACACTGTTACCAGTGTCCCTGTTTACCGCCACGCCAGTCACGCCAGTCCTAGATTGTAAGCTTGAAAGAGCAGGGCCCTTGATCCCCTCATGTTTTGCATTGTATTGGTATTGTTCTGTCACATGTTCTGTCCCCCTTTGTAATGTAGAGCGCTGAGCGAACTATTGGCGCTTTATAAATGCTGTATAATAATAATAATAATATGATGTCACTGTACTACACTGGTGACAGTATGCTGAAAGAAAAAAAATATTTTTTTTTAAATTCTTCATTTTCCCCAAAAATTACAAAAAATCACAACTTCAAAAACAACTCATAATGCCTATTAGTAAATACCTCAGACTGTTCACTTTCCAAAATTGGGCCATTTGGAGAATATCTGTACTATCCTGGCTTTTTTGGGCCTCAAGAAATGAGCCTTAAGTACATCAGGATTTTCAGACTCTATAACTTTCCTACCGACTAAATAATAAACACTGATTTAGACATGTAGCAGAATACATTTTTGTCTAAATAAATCATGTATAATAATAATAATAATAATAATACATCTATGAAGATAGATTTTTTTTTTGCAAAATTTGATAACAGAAAAAAAAATGTGTTTTCTTTTTAATTTTTTTTCATTTACTGTATTAACAAAAAATAAAAAACCCAGTTGTGATTACATACTACCAAAAGAAAGCTCTATTTGTGTGAACAAAATGATAAAAATGTCATATGGATACAGAACTCGCAATTATCATTCAAAGTGTGACAACACTGAAAGCTGAAAATTGGCCTGGGTATGAAGGGTGTGAAACTGCCCGAGATTGAAGTGGTTAAGCTTTGGAAGCTGACTGGTTTCAATGCATAGCTGCACCAGATTTTGCACCATGCAGGTTTAGTAACTAACCCCCGCTGTGTCAGAAGGTCCATATTTTCATAACATTTGCTGCATTTTTAAAATGTACTTTCTTAAAGTTTTCTGGTGCATGAGTTACACACTCGATGTCATCAACTGGTTAAAGGATCTTTTCCCTTTGTTCATAATTAAAATATTCTTGGTTTCAAGAAAAGGTACCATTTTAGTTACAACATCTATAAACTGGTCCTTTTTTGGACATAACAGGGTCAGAAAGTAGAAGCAGAGATTGCATGGAGCAACTACTGAGTACCAAATTTCTAGTTATGTTTGCTACAAAGTGTACCGAAAGGCGAGGACATTAGAGAAGACAGATCTTCCAGAGTACAGAACACAATATAGATGGTACGTAGCACACTTGTGGTAGCAAAAAGTTACAGGCAGAGATCTTCTGGGGCCTGGCTTCTGACAGAGGCCATGTAATGTCTTTATTATCACAATAATAAATGATCCAGAAAGTAAGACATGCCCTTCAAAGGGTGACAAAATATATTCACAAAATTGCTGTATGATTAACGATTTGGCTAAGACCAGAATAACCTAATGCCACTGTTCCAAGATTAATGGCAAAGTAACAATAACGCTGTATCAGAATGAGAGCTTGACTTTTTGCTGAGAAAAGGAGAAAAAAACTAAGAAATAAAATAAAGTTTTGAATGAACGAGATGTGGATGTAGCGTAATGGGGGCCTAGGATATGTGGTTTACCAAGGGATGGCTATACTCGTGTTTCTCAACCTTTTTCCAGTCAAGGCACCCTTTAAAATTATGGACAATCCCGAAGCACACTTTAAAACTTTGGACAGTCTTCAGGCACCCCGTTCTAAAATATGGTGCCTGAAGACTGTCCACAATGTTAAAAGGGCACCCCATTACTACATGTGAAAAACTATTCTAATAGTTTTATATAAACACAGCAATATCCACACACGTAGGACACCCAGCATTAGAGGTGATTTATTCTTCCAAAGCAAGTACACGTTTGCACACTGGTACTGACCAGGGGCGGACTGACAACTCATGGGGCCCCCGGGGCAATAGGGGATCATGGAGCCCCTGTGCCCTTGCCCAACTCAAAAAAGCCTATGAAAAAGGTACCAGGGGCATCTCATGGGGCCCCCTACTGACCCCGGGCCCTAGGGCAGTGCCCGAGTTTCCAAATGGTCAGTCCGCCACCTGTACTGACTAGTATTCCAGTGTTTCTCTTCTCCCTCAGTTTTTCTCCATCATTGAGCTAATGTGACCCCAGCACTGACGGAGAGGGGCAGAGAAGGGTCAAACTAGGATGCTGTGCACACAGTTGACATCCTCCTTATCAACTGATGATGTAATTGGTTGTCAGGAAGTTGGTGGCTAGAAGGTCGTAATGGTTCACAATGAAAACCTGTAGTTTTGTGTAACTAAAAAGCAGGCTTATTCCACCCACTGGCTTGTATACAAGTTTTGGTCAAGTTTTAGACATTTTGCCCAGACACCCCTGAAGAAACCTCAAGGCACCCCAGGGTGCCTGGGCACCCTGGTTGAGAAAGGCCTGGCTATATAATACAGGGAAATCCTTCTCTAGGTAACAATCACATTGTGGCATAGTGGGATTTCTGTTTCAGAAACTGCTCCACAAGCTGTAGCATAATAGGAGGTAGATCTTCAATGGGAACTCAAATTGGACACTGAATTGGGATAATATTTGTTTGAACAGACAATAGCACTGATGACTTGAGTTAAAACTTCCTTATAACCCAAACTGGTGCTTCAGTGTTCAGTAGCCTAAACAAGTTGTGGCCACTTAGTATGAGTTTGGCAGCTTCCCAGTGTAGTGTCCTCCTAGATAGGCTGCCAGGTTGGTTAGAAATAGTTTGGTGTTTGGGCTCCTCTGTAATCAGGGGAGCAGTGTGTGATTGCTTTGAGCTGTTCTGGACTTAATTGGTTGCAGGTTTGATTCTTTCCTCCTGTCTTCTGGAGGATTCCAGAATGTAGTGTGCTGGACACGTGAAGCAGCAGCCTGAATATTTATGCTGTCTTAGCCAATCTCTGGGTGTGGGTGCCCAGTAGGTGGCTGGGGAGTAATAGTCTGAGTTCTAGAGCTGCCCTGTTCTTGCCCCGGAGGAGAAGTGCCCAGCCTGAGGCACTGCTGCCCTTCTTGGAAGCTCAGCTGAAGGTCTTACAGAAGTTCATCAAGGTCCCAGCTAAGCTAGAGCTACAGGCCCACTTTTACAGAGCATCTGTAGCTAATCAAGGATTCTCACTAAGAGTCATGTCTGAAGATTTCATGGGTGAATGCCTGGCAGACATTTGAAGGAAGTATCAAAGTATTCAGGGGCATTGTGAGTACAGACCTCAGTGTAGGATTCTAGTACCTGTTTGCTGTTATTATCCTATATGTAGCAGTGCCAGTGTTTGCTTGGACTGGGACAATCATTATAGTGTTGCCCATTCCCTCGGCTTCTACTAGAGGGACTGTTCTACGAAGTAGTGACAAAGTGAAGGAGTGCCCTCTTGCTACTTTACAGGGTTTCTGGAGTATCCCACAGCTCTCTGCATCCCAAAGTTAAATAGTTAGTCTGGCTGAAAAAAGACAAAAGTCCATCCAGTTCAACCATTAAAAAAAAATAAGTTATAATCCTACACCAACAGGCAAAGCATGCTCCAATTTGCTCCTGCAGGGAAAAAAATCCTTCCTGATCCCCCGAAAGGTAGTCAGATATTCCCTGGATCAACTTTACCTATAAATGTTAGTATCCAGTTATATTCTGTGTATCCAAGAAAGAATCCAGGACTTTTTTAAAGCAATCCACTGAGCTGGATAGAACCAACTCTTGAGGGAGTCTATTCCACATTCTCACAGCTCTTATTGTGAAGAAACCTTTCCGTGTTTGGAGGTTACATTTCTTTTCCTCCTGAGATAAAGAGTGCCCCCTTGTCCTCTGTGATGACCTCAGGGTAAATAGCTCTACACTGAGTTCACTATATGAACCACTGATGTATTTATACATGTTGATGATATCCCCTTATGTATTACACATGGATATCATATCCCCCCTTATGTATTATACATGGTGATCATATCTCCCCTTATGTATTATACATGGAGATCATATCCCCCTTATGTATTATACATGGAGATCATATCCCCCCTTATGTATTATACATGGTGATCATATCCCCCCCTTATGTATTATACATGGAGATCATAGCCCCCCTTATGTATTATACATGGTGATCATATCCCCCCTTATGTATTATACATGGAGATCATATCCCCCCTTATGTATTATACATGGAGATCATATCCCCCCTTATGTATTATACATGGAGATCATATCCCCCCTTATGTATTATACATGGAGATCATATCCCCCTTATGTATTATACATGGTGCTCATATCCCCCCTTATGTATTATACATGGAGATCATATCCCCCCTTATGTATTATGCATGGAGATCATATCCCCCCTTATGTATTATGCATGGTGATCATATCCCCCCTTATGTATTATGCATGGAGATCATATCCCCCCTTATGTATTATGCATGGGGATCATATCCCCCCTTATGTATTATACATGGAGATTATATCCCCCTTATGTATTATACATGGAGATCATATCCCCCTTATGTATTATACATGGTGATCATATCCCCCCTTATGTATTATACATGGAGATCATATCCCCCCTTATGTATTATACATGGAGATCATATCCCCCCTTATGTATTATACATGGAGATCATATCCCCCCTTATGTATTATACATGGAGATCATATCCCCCCTTATGTATTATACATGGAGATCATATCCCCCCTTATGTATTATACATGGAGATCATATCCCCCCTTATGTATTATACATGGAGATCATATCCCCCTTATGTATTATACATGGTGATCATATCCCCCCCTTATGTATTATACATGTTGATCATATCCCCCCTTAATCTCCTCTTCTCAAGAGAGAATAAATTCAGTTCCTCTAATCTTTCCTCATAGCTGAGCTCCTCCATGCCTCGTATCAGTTTAGTTGCCCTTCTCTGTACTTTCTCCAGTTCCCCAATGTTATTTTTGTGAATTAGTGCCCAAAACAGAACTGCATATTCCAGATGAGGTCTTACTAATGATTTGTACCGGGGGAAATGATATCTCTCTCTGGAGTCTATACCTCTTTTAATACAAGAGAGATTTTTGCTCTCTTTAGAAACCCCAGCTTGGCATTGCTTGCCATTATTCAGCTTGTGATCTACCAGAACTCCCAGATCCTTCTCCACCATTGATTCCCCCAGTTGTACCCCCCTAGTATGTATGATGCATGCATATTCTTACCCCCCAAGTGCAGAACCTTACATTTATCAACATTACACCTCATTTGCCACATAGTTGCCCAATTAAACAGTGCATTGAGGTCATCCCATCCAAGTTCAATTTGCAATACAGCATCAAAAAGACACCCCTAGACTGTTCATTGAGCCAGAAAGAATGACTGTTGCCATGTGCCTGGCTGCTGCTGCATTAGCCTGGGAAGGAAACTTGTGGCAAATCTGTGGGCCCTTTTTGGGGTGAACCCTACACCAGTCTTTGCAAAAGCAACACAGTATAGTATCAGCCACCGATACCTTTTAACTCTATAATCTACTTGGATTGAATAATTATGTGTTGCTTAATTTAATCCATGACATCTATATTGTTATCAATGACAGTCCATGGAAGTTTCAACAGAAAGAGCAATACATCACTGAGATTTATGCACAATGCCCAAAGTTGAATGTCACTTTCGCCCTGGGTATGTGTCAATTATCATCAATCAGAGTTGCATACAGGAAACCAAAAAAAGTTTCAGTCTCCTCTACTGTCATCTCTCTTTTCTCTCACCAACTGTCTACTGACCTGCCACGAGGAAGCTGCACCTTATTGCAGGCTGGGCTTATGACTTCGGCGTCAAGCAATATTATGTCTGCGTCATCCAGCTGCCAGAATAGGGAAAAACAAAATGTGACTCCTCTAACAATACATGTTTAACCCTACCTTACATATAGCAATTAAATATATAGTATGAATGTATAAAGTAAGAACAGCAAGGAAAACTATACATAAGTATTCTTACTGCAGGAACTCTTCAGATGGGTCTCACAAACCCTCATAAACATGGGCAGCACAGTGGCTAAATGGTTAGCACTTCCACCTAGCAGTACTAGGGTTGTTGGTTCAAATCCCAGCCATGGCACCACCTGCCTGGAGTTTGCATGTTCTCCCTGTGCCTGTGTGGGTTTTCTCTGGGTACTCTGGTTTCCTCCCACACTCAAAAGACATGCTGGTAGGTTAATTGGATCCTGCCTAAAATTGGCCCTAGTATGTGTATGTATGAATGTGAGTTAGGGACCTTAGATTGTATGTCCCTTGAGGGTTAGGGACTGATGTGAATGCACAATATATAAGTAAGGCACTGTGTAAATTGACGGCGCTATATAAGTACCTGAAATAAATAAACGTGCTGGTGTCTATGTGCTTTTTCACCATAGACAAGATCTCACTGGCTTATTGACCTTTTGAATAGTGGCTTTCCAGCTGGTCATGGACAAGGCATCACAATGGCTTATCAATGTTCCCTTTCCCCTCATGGGAATACTAGATTACCTGCATCTCTCTATCTAAGCTTCCTTAAGCCTAGTACATACGATCATAAAATTGTGCACAAAATACCACTTTCAAAGCGATCATACGGTAATCTGATCGTTAGTACACAGCTTTCGTCCAAAATTATTAGACAAGGGACAAGCACGAAAATTGTTCTCGTACGATATCAGATCGTACAATTTTCATTTAACCTCCCTGGCGGTATGATTATTTTAGATTTTTGGTGCTGACAGCGGTACCATTATTTTGCATGGAAATATGTAGTTTTTTTATTGTAGGCTGTAATATTTAGGAATAACTCACTGAAATCTGTCCGAACAAGAGTCTAGTAAACATCCCGGGTATGATAAAATTTGAAACACAAAATCATAAATTATAATTTAATAAATAATCATAAAAAATAATAATATAATAATAATACATTTTAATTCAATAATATAATCAAATCAAAAACACTGAAATTTGAAATATAGCGCCAAGTTCGCACATCACTGAGCAAAGTCGCAAAATCGTTTTCAGTGTCTGATGATGAATTTCCCCCACGAATCGTTAT